AAAAAAAAAGCGAATGATTCTAAAAACATTCTTGATTTAAAAACAATTATTCTATTTATTTCTCTGAGAGGGTATGTAATGACAGCTTTAGTGAGATTCACCAACATTAAAATTGAGTTCATACCAGATCAAATGAATTTTGACAAGCACCTTGTGTAACAGAAACTAGTGATTTCATTGCACTTTGCCCAGAAGCTGTGAGCAAACACAAGTTTATGCATGTGGGCCCCACATCTGTATGGTGTTATAGCCTGTGTGAGGATTTTTTGTACATGTCCTTCTTTTTGTGACAGCATTTTGTCTTCGAATTTAGATGTGATTTCTGTGTGCACTCCAGGGAGAAAAATGAGTGTTTGCTGTGGCAACAGATGACATGCATCCAAATAAACAAAACTCATATCAGATGACTGACGCTTGATAGCAGATTTCCTTTTCAGGAACTCATACAGAGATGCTTCGGAAGATTAGAAAAGGCTAAAGAAATGCAAACACTGATGGATGGGCAAATAAATAAATAAAACGGATGAGAATCATACCTGGTTGCCATGGAGACGTACCGTCTCCTCACTTCAATAACTGCTGAGCAGAGAGGATTCCAGAGTCAGACTGGGGGAATAAAGAGGAAGAAATCCTTTTCCCTGGAACAGAAATAAAGCGAAATACACAGTCGCTGCATTTCATGTATGCATAAAAATCCTTTGAAACGACATGCTTATGCTGGAATACAGATGCACTGCAGTCATGTGACTCTGGAGACTGAATATCAAGCAGCCTGCATTGCTATTCACATTCATTTCCGTCAAAGTAACAAGGGTAAATGTTATTAAAGCTTTTATAATATAAACGCATAAGAAGATCAATATTAAAGTAATACATTATTACATTTGCAATCGCATTTTTTGTTTGTTTTTCAATTCATATCAAGCTGGGGCACATTTTAAGGTAGAAGTCAGCTAAAATCAACACGTTGTGGGTCTGAAACCTTTCTAAACCCCGTCTTTTCTAAGCTTTCAACCCGCATATGAATTTACGCAGACTTAATTTCAGAGAAAGAAACAACAAAAGTGGACAGTAACAAACTAGGATCATTTCTGAGCCATGAAGTCAACCAAATAAAGCAAACTGGGGTAGATGGACTGGGGATATTAGATTAGGTTTGATTACAGCATTTTGTGTGTGTGTGTGTGTG